ATAACTAAATCATCTAAATAGACACAAAAAGAACATATGTAGTAGAAAATAATATGTAATTGAATTTTGTTTTTGTATATTTCCTATTTTTATATATGAAGATATGGGTGTATGAAATATTTATTTTACTGAATGATTCATTGAACTTATTGCAAAATTTTATCCTTCAATTTATTAATAAAATATTGAAATATCACGTTATCTTGACATAAAATGGATCAAATCTCAAATAGGAAAATACACGAACATAATCTCCTATTCACATTTATTAAAATCTATTTTATTTCTATGATCAATATAGATTTAGTGTTGCTGTCTTTCAAAAAAAGAAAAAAAAAACACAATCTTTTAGAACTTTAGTCAAACCATTTTTAAATCAGTGAAGTTTTCGTCCATAAAATAACTATGTTTACGATTGTTATCAGAGAAAGAATGATTTATGATAATTATTGATCAATATTTGACGTGTGCTTTTTTTTGTAGTGTCATAGCCAGAAACAAGGTTGATAGAGATACTCAGCCTCAAGGTTGCTGATATTTATTAAAGGTGGAAGGGACTAAAAAAAATCGGCAGAAAACATTTTCGTCCTTGAAAATGGTGACCGAGAAGGAAAGAATGAAACCCACTGTGACTTGATTATTCCACTTTCTACTAGAGAATGGTAAAATATGTTCCAAAACCCGGTTTCTGTCCAAAGCTATTGTGAATCTATAAAAAATTGACAAAAAATCGAACATTTTAAACGAAAATCTTGCTCAGCGTTCTAACAATGTTTGTAGAGGAGACGAAGATCCTCTAGTAACGTTTCTAGAGGAGGTTGAATTACTGTCTGATTACACTACTACTTTTTTTATACATATAAAATCAATAAATTTTCTTTTCTTGAATTTAGATGATCATTTATTAGGCAATGCTGTACAACATCGAGAAGTACAAGGAAATGAAAGTGAACGTTTTTTATCTTATTTTAAATCTCGTGGTGGTATTACATATCGACAAGGTGGTATTGCTTCGGGTTTTCATCGTCATCAATCAACAAATGAACCACGTTTATTTCGTTTAAAAGGTCGTCATACTGTACGTCTTTTTGAAATGCCATCTATTGATTGGTCATATATATCACGTGGTGATGTTTATTTATTGGATTTAAATGAAGTTATATTTATATGGAATGGTTTTAAATCTAATAAATATGAACGTTTACAAGCTATGCAACGTGCTAAACAATTACGTGATGAACGTGGTAAAACAAATATTGTTATTATTGAAGATGGTGAAGAAATGAAAATGAGCAAAGATGAATTAAAATTATTTGAAAGTAAATTATCATTAAAAGATAAAAAATTAAATTTAAATGAAACAATTGATGATAATGATGATGATGATAAACGTTCTGATGGTGCACATATTAAACTTTATAAATGTTCAGATGAAAGTGGTACATTAAAAGTAACTGAAAAAAAAGTTGGACCATTAGTTAAAAGTGATTTAGAAAGTGAAGTTAGTTAAATATAAAATATAACTATTGTAAGTTTTATTAATATAACATATTTTTTCTCTTAGGATGCATATATTGTTGATAATAGTGCATATGGTGTATGGGTTTGGGTTGGACGACGATCAAATCCAAAAGAAAGACGAGAAGCTATGCGTAATGCTCTTGTAAGTTAAATCTATTGGCGAGTTCAGACGAAAAAAAGAACTTGTAGAGAAGGTTCAACTATCGTTTGGAACTCAAAAAGAAGGTATAATGTCCACTTGTACAATATAGGAATATCACATTTCTGGAGGAAGTTGAACGCTCTCTTCAGCCATTCTCTAGCTTTGCTACGTGTTAAATCATTTGACTTTTTCAAATACATTGATATTGATAACATATGACAGTTTATCAGGTATTCTTTTGTATTTGATCATAACTTCAAAGAGTTATGATTTAAAAGTTTAATTGAGCATGATTACTATGTTTTTGTTTCCACTCTGTCAATTTCATTAAACTTTTTGGAATATTTAGTAAAATGATTTGAATTTAATTTTCGCACTAAAGAAGCCATTGAGAATATTTTTTATTTATTGAGTATGATGACGTTAATTCTAACTGGACGATTGCATGAATGTTCAAGTAAACTTTCTTTCGTTTATTGAATTATCTTATACTAAAACATATAGATCTTCGAATAAAATTAAGAAAAATTAAAGATCAACGACTGTACCGATATTGGTATCACTTCCCACTGATCTTCATTTCATATTTATCATCTCTTGCTCTCTCTCTCTCTCTCCTCCTATATAAATATGTGCTATATGTGAAGTACTGACATTCTGAAAATATCAAGTACCTCCATAAATATCATTACCATTTTCGATACTTTGATTATATGTATATTTTACGTTAAAAAAAAAACATAGATTTCAAAATACTTTTCAATTACACATTATTATAAGAAGAATTGTTTTAATGAAGATTCTTTAAAAACAGACACATAGTAAAATAAATATATCTATAAAGGGATATCAAATATTCTTAAACTTACAATCTCATTATTAGTAAATGTTGTGTATACTAGACTTCTAATTCAAATGAGGAATTACTTAATGATAATATGACAGAGATAATATTTTCGAAATAGATCTGATATTTCACTATATCATTATCGTTAAAGATTGCCAATTGATATTTTCTTCAAAATAAAAGTTAAATGAACTCAAAATTTTTATTTCAATAGGGTTTTCTTCAAAAAAAAGGTTATCCAAAAACTACAAAAGTTTGTCGTGTTATTGATGGTGCTGAACCAATGGAATTTATAGCTTTATTTAAAACATGGCTTGATTTATATGCTCAGAAAGGTCTTGGAAAAACATTTACAAAAGGACATATTGGTAACTAAAATTTTTATTCTTCTCGTTTCTTTTCACATGATTATCCTCCTTTCTTCTTGCACAGAACTATTAGTTAAATAGGTAGGTTATAATGGTGTATTGCTTTTTGCATGATTACATAATAATAAGAAATAATAAACAAAAAAAAAAACATAAATCATTAATCTAAAATAATCTTATTCAAATATATTTAGCTAAAGTGGTTTCAACACAATTTGATGTAACAACAATGCATTCACATCCACAATTAGCTGCTGCAACACAAATGCCTGATGATGGTTCAGGAAAAAAAGAAATTTATCGTATAGAACAATTTAAAATGATTCCATATCCTGAATCAATGCATGGAATTTTTTTTGCGGGAGATTCATTTGTTATACAATATACATATAATGATCAACAACATTCATATACATTAATTTATTTCTGGTTAGGTCATCATTCAAGTCAAGATGAACAAGGTGCAGCAGCTATTGGTGCTGTTGAATTAGATAAAAAAATTAATGGTACTGGTACAATTATACGTGTTGTTCAAGATAAAGAACCACTTCATTTTATGGCTATGTTTCATGGTCATATGATTATTTTTAAAGTAAAATATTTTATAGACATTTTTTCTCTGAATTTTAAATATGTTTTTTTTTTGTTATTAGCATGGTAAACGAAGTGGTTTTAGAAATTTACAATATTATGATGAAAATACCAGTGAAAATAATGATACATATTTACTTCAAGTTCGTGGTCTATCAAAATATGATACAAAAGCTGTACAAGTAAATATACAGTGTACTTCAATTGAATTTCCTTCCCCCCCTCCCTTCCCTCTTCTTTTATATTTCTTACTTTAGACTATTCTAGTTTGCTTTGTTTTTTTTGGGATAATGGATATATAGCGAGAAAATACAGAATTTATTACATGGCATAATTTATTAGTCATAGATAACAAATAGCAATCGAACATCGGAAAAAAAGATAGTAGTTTTTTTCTTCACTAGAAATCTGCAGTAAGATTAAATCGATCCGTTGTTTTTGTACATATTGATGAACATAAGTTCATTTTTCATAAATATGTTTATCGAACTAATATAATATGGTAATGACATATTATTAATAGAAATTCTGTAAAAACAAATCAAGTAAATATTAAATTTGTTCTCGGTTTTCTTCTTGTCTGTTTCTTTGTCTATATCTATATTGAACGAATAGCACATATATTAAATCAATATTACCATTAGACAATTTAATTTAAGAAAGTCGTTCGAAATCATTATTCAATTACAGTATTCATCACTACACTCACAAACTTTTTATTCATTATCAAGAGAAAGGAAATCAGCAGTAGATATATAAATAAGCATTTTCTTTCTTGTAATGAAATCTGTATTTTCTCCCTATATATGTATTATCGAAAAAAAAAGCAAATTTTAATAGTCTAGAGTAAGAAATATAGAGGGAAGAGTGCAATTTAATTGAGGTGCATTGTAAATCAAATTGAAATTTGATATCATATTTCTTCTTGTTCATTAATTTTGTAATATGAAACAAAATATTCTACTTTTATATTTTAATCTTAATTAAAAAAACAATTGTTTTCAATATATATATATATAATATAAGAGAATCATTCGAAATGATCAATTTCTTTTGAGCTCATATTACTATTATAAAGAGATAAATGTTAGTTGTTAAAAAATTTAAATTCGAAAATATTTTTTTTTTTTTTTTAAATTTTAATCATTTTATTGAATATTCTAAAATATAGAAGTCTTTCCCATCATCAGATGTCAGTCATTATAAGAGATAGAGATCTGGAAATTTCTGTGCTCATAATTCATCATGAATGTAGGTCAATGGAATTACCCAGGCTTCATTTGCTTAAGCAGACACTAAGTCATAATAAATCGTATCTGTTTTTGTTATAAGCTTCTTAATTTTAATAGGCAACAAACTAAACTTTGTCCTACTCCTTATTAAAATACATGATTAATTCTGAGTATTTTCACATGAAACTTAAGTCTCATCTATATTCTTTTTTTTTTAATCCGAAAGATAGATTCATTTACTCGGATATTGACGT